ATTTCGTGAATTCCCGCACTCAGGAGATAGCCAAACAGTCTCCTCACAGAGATTGCGAAACTTAATGAAATTAGGTTCACAAAATATAGGTACGACCCTCAGAGGAATAAAAAACTATAGAGTGAGCATACCAATCATAAATACGTTATTGTTTGTATGCCATTGACAACGCCCATTCTAAGCCGAAATTTCCTTAAATTTAGGGAAAAATGTATTTTTTCTAAAGGATTTCAACGCCGCTTTGTTAGAAAGCTTTCCACCTGCTTCACTCCACCTGAGTGATCATAGGCGTGCGGAAGGAAGTTTAAATGGTGAAAATATTTCTATTTAGTGACAAAAATTAAGCAAATTAAAAAAAAAAAATTCTGCTTCATTAGCAGAATCATGAAAACAAAACAGATTCTGGGGAACTTTTGATCAATAAATCTTTTTGATACAGATCTTAGGAATTAGGTCTACTATCTGAAATGAAATAAATACAGCAGTGTTAGATCAATCAAATTCATGTTACATTACAAAATAATACAAAAAAGGGTCCCTACGTCTGGTTATGAGACTACATTCTTCAATATTTGTTCCTCAGTTTCTGAAACTATTGAGGTAGTTGATGAGGACTGAGAGAGCACTGTCAGGCATTTGAAAGTACTCGAAGCATCGAAAATTCTAAAAAGAAAAAATTATAACGGAGCAATCCTTTATTTTAAGAAGTAGGTAGGCGCATATATGATTACCACTGACTCTTTTTTATCTCAAAACCGAATAAAATCCTATGTAGCATTCTATACACAAATAAAAAATATAAACCCTCCAGAAACAACTTTCTTGTCAAACACATGACTCTCCCGATTAACGATTTCAACCACAGGCCTGGAGGAACATCAGGATACATCCTCAGTCCTTGGAATCTAAAATGATTTAATAAGTGTTTTTGCCCTATCTGACAAATATTGAATTTTGAGCTTTGAAACTAAACTAGTTAAAATCATATAACCTTTTTAATCAGGATGATATTTTGTATCTTCTTTTTGGATTATAAAATCATTCCAATTAATTTTTTGTAGTCTGCATAACATAAGCAATAATTCAATATTTTTTGTTATTACAAACCAACATCTACTTACACTACTTTTGTTTTTGGAGGAGACTGGAGACTCTGTGACTGAAGAGTCTGAGCTGAGGTCTAGACTGGAAATTAATGTAGCTAATATGTAGAAATTATATCAAATATTAAATAACCAACTTACTTTGAAGTATTGAAGACATTGGAAACACGTGAAGAATCCGAACCAGATTTCAAATATCTAAATCCATTAGGCCTAGTGCATTATCATTGAGGTTAAAATGATCTGAGCACACATCAGCGATTTTGGGTAGTCGCTTATTTTCTAATCCTAGAAGGCAAATCCATATACGCCTGCACTCTGGATTTGTTGGAATCCTACAAAGACGCATATTTAACTTCAATCAAGCATAAGGATTATTATTATTCTGCTTGGATTTTTCCTATAGAAGTTCATAGAAAAAATTATCAGAATTAACAACTGGTAACTAATTTCCTCAATCTTGGAACAAAGATATTTTTCTGGCGAAGTAGGTACATTATATCCTATTCCACGCCACTGCTTTGCTATCATAAGCTGGGTTCGGCTATTCAGCGCGGAGTTGGAGTGGAGTGAACAGAGCTAATGGAGTCATCCCTAATATGGTAAAAAGCAATACCCGAACCTTAACCCGAACCGCTGGAGTGCGAATGGAGTCACTCGGAGTGCACGGAGTGAGCAAGTCGAACCCACTTATAATATAACCCCCTACTTACCTATGAAATGAAATTTCCGGGTTCAAATAATCCAATTTTTCACACATTTGACACTGTCTAACCATATTGCTGTACAATATTAGTCTTAAAACACACAAATAATTCACTTTCCAAACATAAAATATCAGAAAAACCTCACAAAAACGATTTCACGATGCTTTCTAACAAAAGGCAACAAGGCACAATCAAACTGACGTTAGCTGTCAGCTTTGACGCCGTTTTACATGCGATGTTGTCACGTTGAAAAATAAATAAGGATACTTGAATAATAACAATATTTTCTAAGCTCCTTTTTTACTAAAACAAACAACTTGAAATTATCAAAAATCTGCATTGAGCAGTTTTTCTAGTTACTCAGTTTATTTGCACTTTTATTAAATTTAAAAAGGCATTTTTTCCCTATTTATTCGACGAGAAGTCCAATAAAGTTTTTTTCCAAAATATAATTGGCAACATGTTGATTCGTCTAGGATGGCGTTTAGACTTGATCGTTTAGACTATGCTTTCTCACTGGCACATCGTCAAAATGTAAATAACGGCCTCTATTGTTTTTTATTCCTCTGAGGTACGACCCCGTTGAGAGGACAATGGAGATGTTTCTGTTGATAAATTGAAAACAGACAATACCGCCTCATGACCAGAAACCGAAGCATTCAAAACCTTAGAACAAACATTCTCATAATCGGCAAAAACACACATAATCCAAAGTCGAAGCACTTGTATCAGATATTCTGGTTGGTTCCACAACATGCAAAATTAGATTGAAACTCATTAAAAAGTTTTGAATTGAATTTCTAGTATTGGAAACATTGTAATCAATGTTATGATCACCAGTTAGAGCAATCGAGGCAAGAGGAGGGAGTTGACTGAATAGCATCTCTAAACTTTCAAAAACTCCCTCAGACAAGACACAGGGGAGCGGTAAATACAAATAACATAAACATTCAGTATGAGTATGCTGCAGTGAGTCATAGAGAGCTCTAAAACTTTCTCAACTTAACTGATCAAACTTGTCCAATATAAAATTAAACTTATTTTCTGCCGTTTTGCTTATCAGCAGCCCTTTGAATGAAGTTCGACCTACAAAATTTAGAAATAATAATAATATTAATTTCTCAGAGAATGTATAAGCCGTCAGTTTCATATCGCAGTAACAGAAAGAGAGAAAAATGAACCGATTAATCTTCTAATCTAAAAAATGATTGTCGTCACTGACTGAGCCATCACTCAGAGAGTCTGCAACTCAATAAATTCTAAAAAATTTCAGTATGTGAGCATGCAGCAAATTTGCCAACTCAGAATCAAAATTACTTACTTACATGATTAGATTCCAATATTTCGCTTAAATTAATATTATGCATTTGAAGAGCTTCGTAAAGTGACAAATTGTTGTTGTCAACATCAAAATTTATGCCCAAGTAGGTGTATTTGTGTGGTTACATAAAATAATAAATCATTCAAAATATAAGACAAAAAACAAACATCACTTTATCACAAAATCACTACATCTTCACAATTGAAGTCATGTACCAATGACGACGCGGTCTTGGCCAGTTCCAAGCTTGTACTACCAGGCTTCAGAAAGCACTGCACAATCATCTCCAAATATCAAACGCAGATTCTTCAGGAAAATTTTGTCCATATCCCCACTAACAAGGAAAAGTTATGGTCGGTTGTCAACAAATTTAACATGCCCAAAACTTCGCATCTGTGCAGATTTCGCATCTGCTGGATTGTTAATAAGATGGAGATCTTTTGATTGTTCTTTAGACCGATTTCTACCAGGTGAAATTCTTTTTCAGCTTCAAGAACTTTCAATGAACTAATAATCTCTGTATTCATAACAATTAATTCCTCCACATCACTACGTAATGAATTGGGAACTTGCTCATGTGCTAGATATTATTCCCTCTCAATTGTATTTATGTTGATGATATTTTTAAGGAATTTAATTCATTTAGCTTGAGAGTAAGATCATGTTTCTCCTTTTCCAAAGATTCTACTAGCAATAGGAGCTCCATTTGTTTCGTTTTCAAATTAGAATTTTCATTTCTAAGTGGAAATGTGGATTAATTTTCCTCGCTTTTCCATCCACAAACGCTTTTCTATCTATCAGATTTCATCAGTGTAGCTAGGAAAGCAAAGAAAACCAACCCAAGTTAAGTGCTTAGTATTATTACTAAGTTTCTCTCTCTTTTGTTTAGATTATCACCATTTCACAAGAACTGCAAACAACGTTTATATTGGAGCTGTACCTATATAGAATATTTGACCTGAAATACTTTTTTCATAAAGTACTAAAACTATACCCTGAACTACCAAACCACGTAAAAAACTGTGAAAGTCTAAATTTATTAAGGCTATTAATAATAGTATATTATACACCTAGGGACTAAAGTGGTACTTTTAATGCCGAGACAAAAAGTTATAATTTGACGAGGGATTAAAAAACACTTTAGTCCTGAGATGTATACACTATTCTATGCACTTTACTTTATTTCCCGGAGATTAAATAAAACAAGGAATAAAAGGGTACTTTTATTCCCTATTTCATTTAATCCCCGGGAAATAAAGTAAAAATTAAATCCCGGGGAAATAAAGTGAAATTTAATCCCGGGTACTAAAAGACCCACTTTACTCTTAATCCTTGAAGTGCATAAATATTGTTATTATTAATATTGTTACGGAATTGCCTTGGATTCTGAGAAATTTGTTGTTTACGTCCGGGAGCATGTCTTTTCTGGAAACTCTATCTTGATAAATATGTTTTTCTTAATAGATCCGGCGTTCGATTTCGGCTACAAATAGCTTGCAGTAATAGAATGAGTACATACCTATTCATTCTAAATAAGAGCTCTGTTAAAGTCAGTTGAATTAAAATGTAGTTGAATTTGAATTCGAGACTTGTCTTGTACATTTCGATAAGTGATAAGTGACTTTTATACACCATGATTTACACAACCCATGCATTAGAAGTTGTCTAATTTACAGGTGGATAGTAGAAATAGCGTCTAATCCACCTGCAATCGAATGCACGGGCTACGTTAATCACCCTGTCCAATCTTTTCGTTTATATTTTCCTTAGAGATATTTTCCATTTTAAATGAAAATAAAGGTTTCGTTTTATATGATTACAATAAAATGTTTGTTCTTTTAGACCACCTTCCTCTACTCCATTACTTACTTTTATTGGTAAAACTTTTTTAGGAATAGATAATTCCTCGGTGGGACTGAATTTAACCACTATATCGCACGTTGAATATAAATCTATTGTGCCTCTATCACGGGATAATTCAAATATATTATGGGCCCATCCAGGGTCCACTAACTCCCATCGAAGATTTATTGGTGACGTATTTGTAAGCCTTACCACTCGTTTGGCTGAGTAACTCACAGGAACCTGAAAAAAATATATTCAAAATGTGTGCAAAAAGCAGACAAGAACATAAAAGAATACTTTGTCGAAAGTAATTGTCCTCGGTTGAACGCTAAATTCCAATTTACAAGGTGAACAGGCCAGCATAATACTTTCCACCTGTGGATTATTTCTGATTGAAATGTACATTTGAGCAACTTGAGTGCCAATGTTGGTAGATTTTGCTGATAAATTCAAGAGGCATTCAGATTCCGGAGCCATGATGAAATTTGTAGGGTCTATAGTGAAAACGTCGTTGCTTAAAGTTATGGTAATATCACAGTTTGAAGAAGAGTCATTTCGTAGTCTCATAGTTGTGCTGTATAGAAGACATTTATCTGGAGAACTGCCAGCTGCAAAAGTTTCCAATGTAGTTTTTCTAGAAACGTAGTTATTAAACTCACCTATTATGGAACCAAAATCGAATATTTTTTGATCTTCGATATAAACAAAATGATCGTAGGAAGCTTTTTCTCTATAATTCTCAAGAGTTTTTGGGAACATGACTTCGGGATTTAAATTTATTTTTGGATATTCGCACACAGCGTTGAATTTGATCTGATAATTTCTTTTCGAGCTATTTTTTACTGGTTCCAATGTGTATATATATTTGTAGTTGCCACATTTGAGAGGACAAAATGTCACTTGGTATTTAACCAAGTCTCCGGGGGAGAGGATGGTTCTTGATGAAAATTCTGCAGCATCAGTTTCAGCTAGAGGTCGTCGTAATAATTAATATAGAAAAATAAATTGACTCTAATTGTTCTTACATTTTACGAAAGACTTCTTATCCTGATTACTTTTTGTTTCAGAACTCCTACGGCGTGAACCTTTAGAGGTTCGTCTATGTTTGAGTTTACCAATGGAAGAACCTGATTTACTTCGAGTCTAAAATTGAATTATTAGGTAGAAGTTTTTGTATTTATACTGGTTGAAAGTAAATTTTAAAATTAATCAAATGTTTTCTTAATTCATAATGGAAACATTTGCTTTTTAAAGTAAATTTCTTACTCTAACAGGATAAACAACATCTGATCCTTTAAAGTTTCTTATACTAAACACCGATGAAAATTCATTTTTACTTCGAGTGGGATTCGTTATCACAGTGAAAAATGTTTCGGACTCTAGAAATATTTTCTTTTTATTTTCTTCGATTTCTTTCACGATCCTTTGAAGTTCCACGTTATTTTTAACAAAGTTTCTTATCATTTTTGGATAATCAACAAGTCTGGTATTGGTGCTGTTTAGCACTAAACATAAATAAATACCTGAAAAATTGGTGAAATATACATTATTTAATGCTTGACTTTTTCTTCTTTCGAGACCAACCGTTTCCTCAAAGTTCTCTTTTACATTCTAATATACTTAAACTATACTCGATAAATTATTATTATGTAGGTATAAACAGCCAGGTTATCGCTTTGCATAATATGTGAATAAACAAAATTTGCACTCTGGCCCGATAAAACCGTGTCAACTGCGATGATCTCCGTTCAAGATAAAATTAATTAATTCTTTTAATAACCATAATTATTAGATATTTATTAAATGTTATGTATTTCAGAAGAATGTATTATACGGTGGTTTGAATTATTTTTAGAATGAGAAATGCATAAGTTCGTGCATTTTAAAAGATATGTAGGTTCCATGGTGTAATGGTTAGCACTCTGGACTTTGAATCCAGCGATCCGAGTTCAAATCTCGGTGGAACCTCGAGTTTTTTGTTTAAAATTTTTAAATTTAGGTATCTTTTATTACCAATGAGAAACGCATTTAATGCATTTCAAAAGACATGCAGGTTCCATGGTGTAATGGTTAGCACTCTGGACTTTGAATCCAGCGATCCGAGTTCAAATCTCGGTGGAACCTCGAGTTTTTTGTTTAATATTTTTGAATTTATCTTTTAGTAGGTACCAATGAGAAACGCATTTTATGCAGTTTAAAAGACATGCAGGTTCCATGGTGTAATGGTTAGCACTCTGGACTTTGAATCCAGCGATCCGAGTTCAAATCTCGGTGGAACCTCGAGTTTTTTATTTAATATTTTTAAATTTATCTTTTAATACCAATGAGAAACGCATTTAATGCATTTCAAAAGACATGCAGGTTCCATGGTGTAATGGTTAGCACTCTGGACTTTGAATCCAGCGATCCGAGTTCAAATCTCGGTGGAACCTCGAGTTTTTTGTTCAATATTTTTAAATTTATCTTTAAGTAGGTTTCAATGAGAAGTGCATTTTATGCAGTTTAAAAGACATGTAGGTTCCATGGTGTAATGGTTAGCACTCTGGACTTTGAATCCAGCGATCCGAGTTCAAATCTCGGTGGAACCTCGAGTTTTTTGTTTAATATTTTCAAATTTATCTTTTAGTAGGTACCAATGAGAAACGCATTTTATGCAGTTTAAAAGACATGCAGGTTCCATGGTGTAATGGTTAGCACTCTGGACTTTGAATCCAGCGATCCGAGTTCAAATCTCGGTGGAACCTCAAGTTTTTTGCTTAATATTTTTAAATTAATCTTTTAGTACCAATCAGGAAAGCATTTTATGCAGTTTGAAAGACACGCAGGTTCCATGGTGTTATGGTTAGCACTCTGGACTCTGAATCCAGCGATCCGAGTTCAAATCTCGGTGGAACCTCGAGTTTTTTGTTTAATATTTTTAAATTTATCTTTTAGTAGGTACCAATGAGAAACGCATTTTATGCAGTTTAAAAGACATGTAGGTTCCATGGTGTAATGGTTAGCACTCTGGACTTTGAATCCAGCGATCCGAGTTCAAATCTCGGTGGAACCTCGAGTTTTTTGTTTAATATTTTTAAATTTATCTTTTAGTAGGTACCAATGAGAAACGCATTTTATGCAGTTTAAAAGACATGTAGGTTCCATGGTGTAATGGTTAGCACTCTGGACTTTGAATCCAGCGATCCGAGTTCAAATCTCGGTGGAACCTCGAGTTTTTTGTTTAATATTTTCAAATTTATCTTTTAGTAGGTACCAATGAGAAACGCATTTTATGCAGTTTAAAAGACATGCAGGTTCCATGGTGTAATGGTTAGCACTCTGGACTTTGAATCCAGCGATCCGAGTTCAAATCTCGGTGGAACCTCAAGTTTTTTGCTTAATATTTTTAAATTAATCTTTTAGTACCAATCAGGAAAGCATTTTATGCAGTTTGAAAGTCACGCAGGTTCCATGGTGTAATGGTTAGCACTCTGGACTCTGAATCCAGCGATCCGAGTTCAAATCTCGGCGGAACCTCGAGTTTTTTGTTTAATATTTTTAAATTTATCTTTTAGTAGGTTTCAATGAGAAATGCATTTTATGCAGTTTAAAAGACATGTAGGTTCCATGGTGTAATGGTTAGCACTCTGGACTTTGAATCCAGCGATCCGAGTTCAAATCTCGGTGGAACCTCGAGTTTTTTGTTTAATATTTTCAAATTTATCTATTAGTAGGTACCTACCAATGAGAAACGCATTTTATGCAGTTTAAAAGACATGCAGGTTCCATGGTGTAATGGTTAGCACTCTGGACTTTGAATCCAGCGATCCGAGTTCAAATCTCGGTGGAACCTCGAGTTTTTTGTTTAATATTTTTAAATTTATCTTTTAGTAGGTACCAATGAGAAACGCATTTTATGCAGTTTAAAAGACATGCAGGTTCCATGGTGTAATAGTTAGCACTTTGGACTTTGAATCCAGCGATCCGAGTTGAAATCTCGGTGGAACCTCGAGGTTTTTGTTTAATATTTTCAAATTTATCTTTTAGTGGGTACCAATGAGAAACGCATTTTATGCAGTTTAAAAGACATGCAGGTTCCATGGTGTAATGGTTAGCACTCTGGACTTTGAATCCAGCGATCCGAGTTCAAATCTCGGTGGAACCTTAAGTTTTTTTGTTTGATATTTTTAAATTATTTTTCATTATCAATGAGAAACGCATTTAATGCATTTTTAAAGACATGCAGGTTCCATGGTGTAATGGTTAGCACTCTGGACTCTGAATTCAGCGATCCGAGTTCAAATCTCGGTGGAACCTCGAGTTTTTTGTTCCATATTTTTAAATTTATCTTTTAGTAGGTTTCAATGAGAAACGCATTTTATGCAGTTTAAAAGACATGTAGGTTCCATGGTGTAATGGTTAGCACTCTGGACTTTGAATCCAGCGATCCGAGTTCAAATCTCGGTGGAACCTCGAGTTTTTTGTTCCATATTTTTAAATTTATCTTTTAGTAGGTTTCAATGAGAAACGCATTTTATGCAGTTTAAAAGACATGCAGGTTTCATGGTGTAATGGTAAACACTCTGCACTGCATCCGGTAATCCAAGCTCAAATCTCGGTGCATGGAATCTTAAGTTTTTTAATTATTATTTTTGAGATTTATATTTTATTCCCAAGTGAGATAAGTTAAAACACTCATTTTGCATATAAACACAAACTATTTCCCTTACCAGTGTCAGACGTGTCTCCCAAGGCTATGGCAGAGATTGATTTTCTAAAAGAGGAATTCCGATTTGTACGAGCTGAATCTTTAATAGAACTATCTTTCTTTTGAGGACCAGAGCTAAATGGCTGAAATAAATTGTAAGCATAGTACCATACATACCATACATAAAATGTACTTACCTTCTTAAGCACAGCATTTTGTTTATCCCAATATTGCGCAACATGTACCAATTCGGCACGTAGTGCTTCAAATTCTTCCAATTCAGCCTTAAGGTGTTTATGCAAAGTTAGAAGTATTTCTATAAAAATTATTCAAATTACTTGTGGTAGACAATTTCATAATTGCAAGTAATACTTTTAGTACGTTCTCCTTGGACATTACTGGTTTTGGATAACCTTTCCGAGTCGACTTTCGTACTAGCTTTTCCAGCTCTTCCACTTGCGCTGGCTTGCGCTGGCAATACTGGTCGAATTTTTGTAGTTTTTTTTATCTGATCTTTTTCTCGTTCTGAGTTTCCTCCAGTTTCGATATTTTTTTGTGCCGATTCCCAATTTTTAACATAATCGTTTACCTTTAAACAGGTATATTCTAGCAAACAATCCCAAACTGTTTCAAAGCTCGAAGTTTGTTGGTTTTATGCAAAGTTTGAAACTATATTGGATTACTTGCTAGAACATAGCTAGCTAAATATTTACCGTATACGATAATAGCACCAAATTAATATAAGCAATACATCCGGCTGCCCTTAAAAGTATATAAAGGGCTTGATTTTGTTTCGGTATGAATCTGCTAGTAAGGCTTTCGATGACAAGATATGGAAAGGTTTTTAGTTTTGCTTTCAGCAGATCCACCAGAGCGTCTGAAGTGATATTCAGAAAGCAGTCTCCTGCCTTGCGATTTCTTTTAAGACTTTTTTCAGAGGACGTTTTGCTTCCTTTTTCTTGTCTTGACCTTTTTTTGGAGCCCTTTTTTGATTTTGGCTCTATGATGTTCAAAATTTTTGCAAAAATGTTATCATATTCGTTGGCTATAGTAAAGAAATAATTCAATAGCTAGCTGAAAGCAATAGAAACCAAAATTTACTCTCGTCTTTTAGACTCTCCAATAAGTCTTGATCCAAATCAGCGTCGATTGTCTCTTGGAACGATTCATTAATAATTTCTGATATTTCAGATGCTGCAGGATCTTTATCTTCTACCAGCGATTCTATAATCAATCCATCGATACCATAAACTGGAATCGATAAAGCAATTCCTACTTGGCTGGCCGCTTTGTAATAATCTAAAATAAAGTTAAACTTTTCAAGATATGTATTATATTTTAGTTTAAAATTATGCAAATAAAACACGAATTAATGGATCAATTCTGTGCACATCTGTTAACAATTCTATAAATTTCTATAAGCCTATAGCTGCCTAAAGACAATTTTTAATTCTGCACTTTCTGTAGATTACAGAATATATTATAGGATGGTGAATATTTCCAATGGAGTATTTGGGAATCGATGCGTTTTGCAGTGTTTCTAGGCTAAGAATCTGGACATCGCTTGACCAATGGTTTTGGCTAAATCACGCATTATGAAACAGATATATTGTAGGTTACCAGTGTCTTGTGGTTACCGTTGAGTTACCACTGTTTGTGAAACTGGCCCTAACTGTGATAAAAGTCGAGAAGCAAAAATAAAAGCTAAATACATTATAAAATGTATTCCGCTCTCTGATCCTATATCTTTGCCACATGATTGGCAACATGGTGGACTATGATGGTGAGGGCTATAATTTGAAACAGATAGGGCTATTTCCGAGTTTGTCCACAAAAAAAATACTATAGATATATATCAATTCCAGCTCACGGATATTACTAACCTAACCCCCGACTTTTGCTCTTAGAGTAGACGAGAATTATTTGCATAAATTTGGATATAAACAGAGATCTTCTTGTCAAATTTGGTCGAGCTCCAAAGATTTTCGAGAAGACTAGAAGCAGCAGAGAAAGCATCAGGCCAGTGCCGAGACTACCAGTTGGCGAACTCTCGAACGAGATGAAAGTCACCGGTAACTGAAGAGTCGGCAAAGAATAAGGAGTAATATAAGTAGCCCCAAGACTTGTCGGAAACATAAGTCCAGTGCTTGCGCTATGAGGCTTAAGCTGCCTTCGAAGAAAACAGGGAAAAACAGAAAAATTCAAAGGATACAAGAGCTCAGCACCATCGACCACTCTGCAGGACGGATGCAGAAGAAGTTCAGAAGTGAGAAGATAATTCCGCCTCAATTGAATAGCATTCTCGAAACACTGAGATGATACAGAAAGAAAGGACTCCCAAAAAAATTCTCAGATTTAGATTTAGGCTCCGAAATCAGGAAACGGAATCTCTAATAAGATGATCAGGCCAGATGCCCTGAATAACCTGAAAGGCCGAAGCTACTCGGTGGAGATGAGCAAACGCTGGTCAAGCATCAGAAGACTTAAATTGAACATATAAATATGATGCGAAACAAGACCAGAGTAGCCCCAAGTGTCGTCTTTATCCGTTGAACGAACAACGATGATGGATGCTCCGTAGCCGACGCGCATCGAAGGAGAAGATGCAGCTCAGAATAATGGCCTTCAACGCACCACGGTACAACGGGAACCAAGTGGAGACCATGGGAAAAACATCAGAGAAAACCTTTTAGAAAGCAACCATTTATAGCAAGTTGGACGACCGACGAACCGGTTCGATCCCGACACTAGAGCTAACTCAGCACCAACGCTGGATCCACAGAAAACTTGATAAGAAATCCATTCAGTTTCTTGCGTAAAATTTCGCAGTTTTTCAATAGGACGTTTGAGCCGCAATATTGAATTTTCTGTCATAACAGCTATTTACTATCATCCTCAATATCGAGCTTAAGCTCATTTATTTTTTTAAACATCGCTGCTTTTGGGCCGTAATTTTGTTTTCCTACGACCACATACGAAAATGACGAAATCCGCACTAGGTGGTTCTTTGGAAAGCGCTAAATATCACACGCGTGCCGAAAGTACTTTCAATATGCGTGCTAAAAGTACTTTCAACACACGTGTGGAAAATACTGTTGACATAATTTTTTATTCACATCACAATTTACTTTCAATACGTGGGTTGAAAGTACTTTCAGCACGTGTGTTGAAAATGAAAGGAAATAAAATAAGAGAAAATTGGTATTGGTTTCTGGTCGTAGGAAAAATGGTGTACATCACTTGTGACAAAGCGTTTTTGATACACTCGTGTGACTTTCGCACTCGGTTACCGCCTCGCGCGAAAAAACACTCGTGTGAAATTTGTCACTTTCTACACGCGTAATGTAATATACTATTTTTATTCGCATCACAATTTACTTTCAATACGTGGGTTGAAAGTACTTTAAGCACGTATGTTGAAAATGAAAAGAAATAAAATAAGAGAAAATTGGTGTAAATCGGTTTCTTTTGTCGGTTCTACGTCCTGGACCGCATATGACGTATATCCGACAATTTGTAGCTGCTGCAAATACCAACGGATGGATGGATCAAGAAAAAGCTACAGCACTGATAGTGGCGCTACGAGGACTTGCCTTAGATCTTCTTATAGTCCATTCCTTCAATCTACCAACAGAATTACCAGCATCTAAGTCAGGTTAAAATTGCGCTTCGGAGACCATTACAGACAAAAAGTATTTAGAACTTAAGTTAAATCAAAATCAAGAATTTAAAAACCTGGCGAGAGTCTACAAGAATTCAAATCGGAAGTTAAAAGGCTAGTGAGTTTGGCGTTTCCTGCAGCTGGGGAAGACATGCAGGAATGGATGGCAGTATCTGAGTTTATTGATGGTCTCAGAGATTCCAAGATCCAGGAAAACCTGAGAGTGTCTAAGTTCAGAAATAGTAGCGAAGATCTTGTCCGAGCATTGAAACTGGAAGCTATTTTTGGTGTCTCACGACCAGAATACGTTGTTTCTAGTTGAAAATAGCTTCACTGACAGATTTCCATTTTGCAATTTTTTTTCAAAAATGAATGTACTAGAAGATATTATCAATGAAGCTACAGTCGTAGCTAACAGTTTATCACCAGAAAAGTCTACCAGGAGGTACCTACAAAAAGAAAGGAGGTACCTAAAAATAAATAACTCTACTGACTTGTAATAGTATATTACAATCCGAGACGGGAAATGCTTCATTACTGGTCGAGAGGTTTTATAGTTTATCGAGACTCGTAGCGTCGAGTATACTATTTTATTTACAATCATTCGAATTTTGAAATTTTTATTTGAATTAAAACTAAAAAATACAATAATTGACAATTTCATTTACTTTCGGCCCACGGGTCGAAAGTAAACTTTCGACCCGTGGGCCGAAAGTAAAAGTCAAAAAAGTGACATTTTCGAACTTTTGCATTCAGTTTGGGCTTGAGCATTCACCCGACAAAAAGGTTCGAGAACACTCCAACCCTTAGATCCGATAATGGTACGCGTAGAACCGCTATCCATAGATTTTCCATAGATGACGACCTCTAAATAGGGTCGAATATCCCCTTTGGCGTGAGAAAGAATAAAATCAAGAATGATCTTGTTCTTGTCGACCCGAAGATTTTCTGAATTAAAGGAAGACTGTGGGTCTAAGTCGGTCTTCCTCTGGACTAGTTTTTGGAGCATTTCGGACAATTTCGGGTAATGACATCTTTCTGGCCACATCGGAAGCAAAATGTATGGCGGGGTTTAGGACACTGTCTGAAATTATGGCCAAGCTCTTGACAATTCCAACATTTGAGCGTTGAAGTAGTGACCGCGGCCAAGTCAATGAGATTATCCTTGTTAGGATCAGAACACTCAGTGTGGTCGGGGCACTCGGGTTCATCAATTATGGCGACTTGAGGGTAAGGTTTATGGTAAGCTAGAGCGGGCTCCAAGAGAGTTCGATAGGTGGTTGGTGGAGGTATGAATCGCTGAACTCGGGCTTCTGTTTCCTCGATAGCTCGACTGAGCCGAAGTAAGTCATGCAAGGACTCAAGGCGCTCGGTCGACAGACGTCGCTGAATATGTGGAAGAAGGTTGCGTCGGATAACTTGAAGTCGAGCAACTTTGGATGGAAGAGTTGGAAGTTTACGGAAAAGTGCTTCCATGGCAACGACAAAACTGATGACTCGCTCTTGCGCACCTTGGGTGCGGCGATGAATCCAAATGACCAAACTCATAATCGTACGGCTGAAAAGTGTCTCTCAACTGAAGAACCAAGTCATCCAAAGAAAGGATTTCTCTAGTTCGGAACCAGAGCAGAGCGTCACCAATCAAAAGTTCCGGAGCAAAACGCAAGAGGTGCTGCTTTGCGACATTCCTGGATATGCGAAGCTCTTCAATTCGTTCCAGAAAATCGGTTACACTAGTGCGACCATCGTATTTGATACCCCACAATGACGCATTTTGATACTTCGTTGGCGGAGGTGTGAGAGAATGATCGAAGTTTCCTCGGAGAGGCGAGAATTGGTAATTGTTCAGTTTATCCGCAAGATTACCAGAAGAATTTGCGAAACTCAAGGGTTCAGTCGGTGGAGTCGAATTACCGTGGGCTTGCCTGGAAAAATTTGGATATTTATCCTCAAAACGTTCCTGAGATGGTCTTTCCTGCGAAGAGACTGGATGAATATTTGTTGGTCTCGATGACCTGGAGGGATAGTATCAGGAGCAGCAGTTCTGTGCCACGACGGAGGATAGTCAACTGCAGAAGAACCATGTGCCGGTTCTGGGTGTCCGCGAAGAAATTGTCCATATGACGAGGGAACATGTTCAGTCAAATCGGAAGGCAGAGGTGGAGCTCTACGAGATTCGCGACAACGATCAGAACCAACCCACTGTCCGGAATTCAAGCCTAACCTCGCCGGGGGTTGTTGAAGAGGACCTAATTCATCAACATTAACGATAGGATCTTCATAGGTAGGATGAGTAAGAGTCCTATGTATGGAATTGTCTTGATGGAACTGATGATCTAGAAAACCTGAAGAAGGATTGTCAAAGTCTACACGGGTAGGTGCAGAGATAATTCGTCGATGAGGAGGAGCGCGTCGATTAGAAGAAGCGGGTGGATTCGAGACATTTGTAGCTTCTTGTTCTACTTGAGGTATCGATGTCGACGTGAGTGGAGTTGTACCAGACAAAGGAGGACCATCGCCATCAAAGGAAATTAAATCGTGTGATGTGGCAATATCCTCTGACTCGACAATGTTGACCTGTGCGATAGGATTGATACTATGTTCGGATGATGGGGGGTTGTCCGTATCTAAGAGGCTT